GAAAAGCATTATTTAAAAAAAAAATTTTTTAAGCTCCAAATGTTTAAGGATGGTTATTGCTTTTATTGGCTTCTTAAACCTAACTGGGAAGAGAAACAGATATATAAAAATTCAAAAACATTACTGTATCTTCCAGGAACCATCTCAAAATGACTCTGAATTTAGTTGAGTGGCACATTCTCCCTTAAAATGCTATATTGCACTGGTGCCTTTTAGATAAAGTAAACCTGAGCAGATATTGTATTCTCAAATCACAATGCTGATTTTTTTCTTTCTTCAGCCTGATTGTTGACTATCTTGTGATTTTTGTTGTTGACGATGATATTACTGAATTTGAAATTAAATAGCAATCTCCAAGGTGGTCTCTTTCTGGTATACTTCATTTGTATTTCTTTCAACTAAATAATCTAGCTAACTTTCACTATTGACAGGATTTTCTATGTGTCCTGTTGTTTCTACCTAATAAGAGGAGAGAAAGGGGAATGCTGTTGATAAATTACTATGAGTCGCCACATTAAGCAAGGACAATCTAAAAAAAAAACCAACCCTATAATCAAACTTCCCCCACAATTTGTGAAAATACTTTTAGCCCCCAATATTAAGGACATTGGCAATAGATAGGTGTACAGGAGGAAGGGGATAAGGGGGAGGGTGGAGAGGACAGGAGGGAGATAATAGATGACTAAACTGAGTAGCCTATGTTTCAAAAAGGAACAAAGATTACCAAACTAATCAGCTCAGTTCTCAAAATCCATGTTGTTCAAATCTTCCAATTATATCAGTCCTTCTGGGAGAAATAAAATGCTGACAAGCACGTTCCTTGTATTTGCCCATAAACAATTTACAAGATTTAAAAAGACGCTATCTCTTTGCAAGAGAATTGTAAAACTACAGAGTACTTCATGCATACCTGAAAATTGTCTTTGAATTGCCAAGTAGCTGAGCTGCCTTTGGCTTTGTCTCTGAAAAAAAAAAAAAATCAAAAGGCTGAGACTACTTAAACTTTGGCAACAAAGTTTACTATCTCCCATGAAGTCTAAACCAACGCTGAATTTGGACTTCTAGGAAGGAAAGAGGCTTTTGTTTTGGTTTTTGTGTTTTGTTTTGTTTTTAGCCTAAGGACAGGAATTAATAGACTACTGATAGAAACCCCAATCTGCTTAGCTTGTGCCCAGACAGTATAGACTCTCTTGTAAGGGTTTTTGCTTTACAACGGGTGGGGTGTGTGTGTATGTGTTTTCTGAGAGAAAGACAGTGGAGGAAGTTGTAACCAGGAGGTAGAAGATTGGTCACCTCCATCTTGAGGTCATGTAGATTTTGCTGAGCCGAGTACTTAGCATGGAATTTGTGCTTCTGTGCTGTTTTCTTGAAAGACTAAGAAAGAAGCAGCTGTTGCTAACACCAGGGCAACCACCAATGGGCATAATGAAGTTGAGATGGATTGAGAATGTCTGTGACCCACTGAGCACTGAGCAGGTCCATGTTAAATGAGATGTCCCCTACTATACTTAAAGGCAATTTCCTTTACCCGTGGTTCAGAGCCTGGAAGAAAACAACTTCCTTGAACTGCCTATCCCTCCTGAGTCTGTGCTTCACTTCTTTCCTCTAAGAGGAAGGAGTTAACACAGGAAAGCTCCATTTCCTGCAATTGCCAGCTGTGCCCAGTCAGCATATACCCATAATGGTTCACCTTTTCCTTTTGTGATTACCATCCATTAGACATTCTGCTGCTAGATATAAGGAAAACTTACTGAGCTAATCATGTTTGCATTATTATTTGGAATTGGTAGGAAATGAAACATTACAGAAGTCTAATTTTTTAGTGAGCCCCAAATCTGGAAACAAAATAGGGATAGAAAAGAGTGATTGCACTTTATGGGCTTGAGCCTGTGGTACATATCTATATGTATATGTATATACATATATACATGCATATATACCATCAGTGAAAGGTGCCTTACCATAGTGGAAAGAGGCAGTGCACCCATGCAAACAAATGTAGGAAATGAAGCCTGGATCTTTATGAACCTCTTGAGGGAGAAGGGAGAGAAAAGATGGAGCCTTTTGTAATGCAGAATAATAGTATGAAGACATAACATACTTACAGCCTTAGATAGCTCACCTACTAGGATTCTCTGAACTAATATTTGGAACATATGGACTTGAATCTTCTGAATGTTTAGAATCTGTTATTGAGGTAGAACTTACAGTGGCTGGTCAATAGTCCAGAAAAAAACCATGCCCAGTTCATGTAGGATTCATTTCATTACTCTCATACCTCCCAAATTCAGGGATATCCAATCTTCATTGGAATAACTCCAATCACAGTATTTAGTAGCCTTCCTTGGCAAAGTGTTCTATATCTGTTGCCAGCTATAATTTGTTTTCTAATGTTTCACCTAAATCCTACCAATTGAGTCTTAAATCCACTATTCTTTACTCTTTCTTTATTGGCAATGGACAATAACGAATTCCTCTTCAGAACCAACTTTGAGCTTCTGTTTTTGAAAGCAGCCTTTTCCGAGTTTCCTCAATTTGAGCTCACCTACAAAGCTTCTTCATCTTTGGGACTCTTTGGGCAGGGGGAAAGTCCCTTTTGCCCCTGTGAACCCCGATTTATTTGTTCTAAGAAAGAGACAAATGAAATTAGGGTGCATGTGTCCACAACTTAATTTCTCTCAAGCTAGCTTGATGTGCATTGCATGGGAGTTCAGTCCAAAACTGGGCCCCCCTAAGGGGCCAGTTCAGAACTAGCTCAGTTTGCGATTTTGGGGTATAGCCTTATATGCCCTTCAAAGCATAGGTGTTCCCAAGGGGTGCCAATCAACCACAATTGGTTGATGCACTAGAAGATGGGTCTTATCTGTCTGAGGCTGGATTTAAACTAGTATCTTCCTGACTCTGGGCCTACTGCACCACCTAACAATGTGTTCCCTCTTCCACTTTACCTCAGAGATTTCCCCTCTTCCTTCAAGATGCAGATTGTATTTGTATCCTCAGTATCTAAGAACACTGTCTGGCACACAGTAAACACTTAATAAATGCTTGTTGATTAAATGATAGTATTTGTTATAAATAACCTTGCTTTTTTTTTAGTCTTTTTTTTAGCATTGGTCCAGACCCATGATTCATTGGTATAGGGATCTCTTCATGAGAAAATTCCCTCTACCAATGCAAATTGATAAACTGTTCTGAAACTTTATGATCTTAGAGAGTTGGTTAGGGCAATGAGCAATTAAATGACATGCAGAGTCGCACATCCAGTATGTGTCAAAAGTAAGGTCCCAGGTTCCAACTCTGACACTGGCCGATTATGCACCGTCACCTGCCCCTTAGTATATGGAATAGCCAGTCTATCTGCTCATCCCTTGAAGTATGTTTCTGCCATTTGTTATTGTCTTGCTTTAGAGAAGTAGCAAATGATTTCTAAAGAAAAAGTAATTGATGACTCATTTTTCAATGTATTAAAATAAAAATAATTAGAAGTAATATCTTTCTGAAATACCTTCTCTCCTCTGACACTTCCACCATCGTGGTGCAGGCCTTCATTACCTCATTCTGGGACTATTTGCATAGTTAGATGGTTGAACCCCTACTTTAAGTTTCTCCTCATTCCAGTATAGCCTCTACTCAGCTGTCACATTGATCTTCCTAAAGTTCAGGTCAGACCATGTTGTACCCTGCACATATATGCATTCAATAAACTCCAGCGGCTCCCTATTACCTCTAGGATAAATTGCAAAATCCTATGTTTGGCTTTAAAAGCCTTTTATAACCTGGATGCCCTTCTACCTTTTTTATTCCATATTTATTCTTTACTCACTTATTTCTTACTCATTTCCCTGTAATCTGAAGTCTAGTAATACTGACTTACTTGTTGTTCCTCACATAAGATGCTCCATCTCCTGACTGTGGGTATTTTCTGTGGGAGGCTGTCCTCCATGCCTGAAATTCTCTTCCTCCTCATCTCCCCCTCCAGTATTCCCTGGCTTTCTTTAAGTTTCAGCTAAAATTGGGCTTTCTGAAAGAAGCTTTTCCCAGTCCTACTTATGGCTAGTATATTCCCTCCCCACCCCAAAGATTATCTCAAATTACTTTTGTTTATACAGTTGTTTGCATGTTGTCTCCCCCATTAGACCTTGAGTTCTTAAGAACAAGGACTGTCTTTTGCCTTTCATTGTATTTCCAATACTTAACAAAGTGTCTGGCACATAGTAGGTGCTTGCTTAGTAAATGCTTGTTGAGTTGACTTCAGCAAGTGAAAGGCTGTATACATAGGGAATGTAGTTTTTCAACACAAACAAAACTATTCTTTAGGCTGTCTGACAGTGCTAGGGAGGCACTTCTGAGCTAGGGAGAGGTGATATGGAAGTCATTCTATGGATAGACAAATCCTGCTCCAGTAAGTAAGGGAAGAGGAAGTCATTATCTACTAGGGATAGAGGTTTTTTTAGGGGAAATTGTTATTAGTAACCCTCCAAACATCAAAGAAAGAACTAGGTCTCTGGGGTCAGATCCCTGGATCATGCTGTATTCTTAGTTTTTTGTTTGTTTGTTTGTTTTTGTTTGTATTTGTTTTGCTGTAACCCTTGGCAAAAAAAAATGATAATAGACTATTCTTTGTTTTAATTTCCCCATCTGAAAAAGGAGAAAGGATTCTTCCTCTGTCCCACAAGAACTATCATGAAGATAAATAAGATAATATAAAAATGAACTTTGAACTCAGAAGACAAATGATTTTGAATTTCACCATTATTTTTGTAGTATGTTCTGGGAATAGCAACAGAGTCAACCAGATAAGGCTAATTTATATTTAATGCTGTGAGGAACAAAAACAAATTAAAAATGAAAGCTGAATTAGATATTAAATGTACTTGAATATTCCAGTAATAGGAAATTCTTCTGAATTCAAGTTAGCCCAAGGTCTAAGATTCTCCTTTATAAAAAATCCATATCAGTCTCATAAACAAAATAAATAACAGGAAATTTTGGTTGTTTAGAAAATTGGCTGTGATGGAATCATTGGATCAGCTGCCAAAGAAGATCGCTGTGGAATATGTAATGGAGATGGTAAAACCTGCAAGGTTGTAAAGGGAGATTTCAACCATACCAAGGGAATGGGTGAGTAGAGATTCTGAAAAGCCTTCCATTGACCCATTGTAATTTTCAGGTACCAATTGAATAACAAGTTTTGCCTAATTGTGCTCTTTTCCCAAAACCTAACTTACTGATTCTTTTCTCTCAGTACTGTAGTCAAATAATTCATCATAATATCTAGCTAAGCCCATACATTGATCTTAAGATTCATGAAAGGCAGAGAAAATAAGTCATTTCTTTAAGTCTTTAGAATTTGCCTATAAAAGGAATTTATTCCTCACCAACCAGTTAATGGTGCATGAATCATTGTCGTGGCCTTAATTACCTCAAAATTATTCCCTTCCAGTTTAAAGTCACATCATCATTTTATGTTAAAAGGATAAGAAAGGGAAAGATCATTTTTCCTCAATTACTTTTACTTACAGGTGAGAATGGTTACCATTTCTAAGTTGGATTTGAGTAAAAGTTTGATAGCTTTTATATGAATCTGTAAAATACTCATGTGACACTGCAGGTTTCAAAGTATTCTCATATTTCTCTGTTGACCATGATTATGAAATGAATTGCCCTGTCTCCCAATTTCCCAAATAGTACAAATCACTCCAACATAGTACTTTAGAACATTTCAAAATATGATTTACATTTTTTTCTACTTTGATAATCATGCTCATTTATTGTTCAAATGAATGTGTTGCTTTTCTTATTCTGGAAGAGGTTTTAGAAAAGGGTTGACAAATGGAAATTATGAAAAAGTATGAAAATTCCTTTAAACCAGGGGTTCTAAACCTTTTTTTTTGTCATGGGCCCCTTTGGCAATCTGGTAAAGCCTCTGCACTCCTTTTTGGAATAATGTTTTTAAATGCATAAAATAAAAAATTCTTAGGATTACAAAAGAAACCAATTATTTTTGAAATACAGTTATCAAGACAGAACAAAAAAAGGTCACAGATCCTAGGTTAAAAACCCCTGCTTTAAACCATTAGAATCCCCCCCCCCAGCTCTGTTACCCTATGCTGAGAAGGGAAAAGTGGGGGTTGGGGAAAATACAGCAATGATCAATTTAAAAACTGGGGTTATGGTCATTATGTGCTTTCTAAAGCTTATGGAAAATGGCCATAGTTTTTTTCTCCCTATACTTTGTGGTTTGTGAGGGTTTTATTGCCAATGTGCTATTACTTCCCTCTGAATGACCAAAAATAATTTCTTCATTGGGAGGAAGAGAGTATAAACTATATATATAGTCTATATGAGGACTGTTCTAAACTGAATATAGGAGACTGAATCACTACTAAGTTAATTAGAATGAAGCATTGATTACAATCTACTTTAAACACACATAATGCATAACAGTGCAATACAAAATACATAACCATAAAACATAATTTAACAAACTCTTCCATTTTAATTATGTTTATATAACAAGAAAACATAATTTCTCTCACCTAAGACCCATTAACAAGAATATATTGGCATTAGTTATTTAATATATGCTATATCAGATCCTTGCCTTGATGTCCACATAACCTTTCCTCCTTCATTACCTCCTATTCTGAGATGCCAACTAACACCTATCACCACATGTGAGGTGTACATGGAATCTGTAGTCTCCATAGCCAATTCCCAGGATTAGACTTTGTGGTTGCATCATTTGGACCTCCAGCTGGCAACCAGGCAGAAGTGGTGCATGGTTTTGTCTGTGAGGCTGTCACCACCCCATGGCTGTTGTGCTCAATGTGGTTTCCAGCTGGTGATTCAAGAAGTGGCTTAGCAAACCTATGAAAAAGATAAAGCATATGTTTACTGTGGTAGGATGCATACGTTCTGCCTGTTATTCTGAAGAGTTGCCAAATATCACACCTTTATTTTAAAACAAAAAGCTATTTAAACCTTTATACCTAGACTTATAATAAGCATACCCTTATGCTAATGGAGATGTTTAAAATAAGACACACTAGCCTATTGATACTTAAAATACATAGATACGTAGTATGATGGTATTCTAGGACTGGAAAAGACCCCAGATTTCATCTAGTTTCATTCCTACCTGAAATTGGAATGCCCAACAAGTGATCATCCACTTAACCACTCCAAGCCTCCACTTCGTGACCTCCAGGAAGAGGGAACTCACAGCTCCATTTTTAGATAGATCTGATTTTAATGAAATATGTAATTTAAAATATACATATATTTGTATATTTATATTTAATTACTATATAAAATTGGTTATCATTATGAAATCCAGAATTGACAGTTATAATACATTTTTTAATAGAAGGCCACTACTATTGCCTTCCCTCTGGGATTATCTCCCATTTTTACTGTATATGTCTTGTATGTTGTATCTCCAGTTAAAACGTGAGCCCCGTGAGGGCAGGGACTGTGTTTTTCTTTGCATCCTCAGTGCTTACACAGTACCTGGAACATAGTAAGAGCTTAATAAATGCTTGTGGTTTGAGTGGTTGAAAAACTTCTTGGAAAATACTATATCGAATACTTCCTGGTGGTAACAAATGTCAATCTTGTAAATATAGTGGCTTCTGAAATCTAAACAAATTATTTTAAGTAGAAAGATGATTTACTACTTAACTATATCATGTAGAAAGAGAAGTGAGAAATGTGGCAAAAGGAGGTGTTCTACTCTTGTAAGGTTTGATTCCAAAGAAAAACATCATCCCACACAAATAAGAAAAAGTTAGTGAAAGAGTTCATGGCAACATTTTATAATGACATAGTACTTGTTTGTATTGTTTTCAGTCATCTGATCCAAAGTCTTAGATGCTGAAAATTCATGAAATTGAGGTTTACTTTCTAAAATGTATATAATTCATTTTGATAAGTTGAGGGTAATAGAGATTGTCCCATCACAGTATAATGATAGATTAGATAGTATCTAAAGTATATTTTCATTATAATTGTATTACTTGCCACTCTGTATTATTTATCAGCTGAGTAAAAAAGCACATCCTTAGCAATTATAGACTATAAAAAGCATTGACTTATGCAACCTAACCCCTTTTTTCTAGTATATATACATAAGAATAGATACACAAGCTTTAAGCTAAATTGAAGCTACTGCCATTTGAATTTAGTAAATTGCTAATCACAGTATAGTTGCTACTTCCACACCAACTACCTCAATACAGAGAATTGAATTTTTCTGGTTTGGACTATTCAGTGCTCATGTACTTCAAGGATAGGACCAATCAGTACTAATGAAATATAACAAAAGCTTACATTTAAATAGCAGCTTAAGGTTTGAAAAGTGCTTTACACAGAGTATTTCATTTGATTTTCACAACAGTCCTATGAGGTAGGTGTTATTATTATCCTCATTTTAGAGTTGTCTGCTTTCAAAAACTTCCTGATATGTATAAACTTTATATAAATTGAGACTACCTTATTAAGTTCTTTTCTTTATTAAAAACTTGACTTCTGTTAACAATGATATGGCTGTTTCAGTTTCTATGTATGGAAATACATGATTACTTTCTCAGCAGCTATGAAATAATAAGAAGTTAATGCTTGTGCATTGTTATAAGTCATAGATGTCCTCATAATCCTGTGATTTAAAGCCATAAAGTGAATTCCTCATAACATGTAACACAACCCATTTCTGTTTCTTAGTCACCAATAATATTTGTAAGAAGGTGTCCACGTGTGTGATGACAAAGGCAAAGGCTGTTCCCAAGTGTTTTTCATGTAAGATGTTTGAATGCTGTGCATAGTTCATAGTGGAGACATCTTTGGTGTTTTTCTCTCTATGCTTGCCTTCTGAGTGGATCTGGTGGAATGACTGAGTCATATATGAAGCCATTGATAAGCATGTGGGCCATTTACTATTGACTATAATCTTTTTAGCAGGAACAACCTCTACACAGATAAAGCACTTCTACTCATACAATGATATAGCCAATTGACATTTCTTTTTATAATGTGTACTTAAGCACATAAATATTTGAACTACTTGGAATTGGTTTAAGGTCCAGGTCTCTCTCAAAATTTTTTATTACTAATTATTAACAACATTTTCATTAGATATAAAAAATTGGAATTTGAAAGAATCAAAAAGAAAACTGTAGGAGATATTAAAGTTAATAAGATTTATCTGCATAAACTTGAGAAATGAACCTGAAGCAAAAGCAGTCCAATATATTTATGTATGTCCAGATTTAACTGGAACTATTTTATTCATTCATTCAATAATAATTCATTAGAAATCAAAATTTTAACAAGTCAAAATTCAAAATTTATACTTTTTAAAGTCATCTCATGTCCCAAGAATATGTATTCACTAGGTTCTCCCCCCAATAATACCAAACCATTAATAGATTTAATACCAAATTTCTTTCTTGCCAATTAAAAGTGCCCAGCCCAATTACTTTGTTCATGTAGTTTACCAATAAGGAATATCCTTAAAATGGTATCTTTTAATCAAAGATTCATAAACTTACGTTTAGATCCATAATTTAGGTTTAGAGGAAGGACTTTATACTCTTTGAGGAGAGTAACTTCTGGCTTTTTCAGGTTATTTAATTATTTACATATATTTTATGTCATTAAAAGATAAATTGAAAAAATCAATGATCAGTTTACTATTTAAACCTAATACATAAATAACATATGTAAAACATTGATTGCATTAACCTCACTGTGAAAGGTAAAGCACCACAACATTCCCAATGATTTTACCAGTATATTACCTATATAATTTAATTTTGTAATAATTATTTTTCCATAAATACTCTACAGAAAAGGAGATTATATTCATTCAAATTGAACTACCTTCTACTTAAGCATTTTTGAGAGCAATAACATTATTTATAAAACATTGTTTACAAGAAATAATTTTAATATTGAGTTGATGACTATGGGGAAATATAAATGATAGTGATGAAAATAAAGTTACCTTCATAGCCCCTATTCATACTGCAAAAAGTAGGAAGGTCATTTCACCTCTTCATTATAAATGTTCTCTAGAAGATTCTTTAAGGACTTTTCTTCCAAAAGAAAGATCCTTATTGTAA